CCTTTGCATCTATTCCTATATAAGTTCTAAACCTTGCAAGGTTTAGACTCAGCAGGGAGTGTACAGCCATGAATGAGAAGGTTTCACACAGTACTAAAGAGAATTTCTGAGGCAAACTAAATAACCTGTATCGTGGCCAACCACAGAGGTAATGTTACACAGCGCATATTTTCTGTGAAACTGTGACCGTAACTTCCAGGGAAAATATTTGATATTTCGTGAGTCAAATGCTCGATCTTGCTAGCACTTAGGGTGCCTTCTTAAACAGGGATGGCCATAATTTGACCATAAACCACATGTTTTACATGTGGAAAGGCACAAGTTCATCCTCACTGCCTTCAGATACAGCTGGGAAATACTACTTTCTGAAACTCTGGACAGCTTCCAACTCTTAGTATGGAAAATGCATAGTCAAATAGACCAGCTTTCTACATAATTTGTAAAAGCCCTGTGCTCTCTTTCGAAGAAATATTCTTTTTTGAAAAAAATAGTGTTTGCTGTGTTTGCTGTGTTTGCTGTGCGGGCCAGGTATAGCCTGTGTGCTCGCTTAGCAACCTCTCTTCCCACTGTGATTACAAACCATACTTTGCCCTTTTGGTTGTTACGGCAGGAGAACCTACATGAAGGACTTGCTTAGTTGGAATGTGCAAGTGGAGAAGGCAAAACCCCATGGAGACCAATGTGGGCCTTTCCATAGTCAGAGCTATCATCACACTGACTGCTTGCTTTTGTAACGCTTCACTTTTTAAAGGTGTAGCATATGACTGCCATTTTAAAGGTAGCTCTGGTATATGGTGTGAAAATGGTAGGTGTAGAAGACAGAGGTGTTAGATGAATTTGGGCTTAGATTTTAACTCTCTGAAGCTTGAAGAAGTGCGTTCTAATGACATCAGAACATATGGGATTCCTTAGTAGAATGTTTGTGTAGGAGAAGTTTGTTGTTGTCGGTCGCGAAGTCATGTCTGACTCATCACAACCCCATGGACCACATTCCTCCAGGCCTTCCTGTCCTCCACCATCCCCTGGAGTCCACTCAAGCTCACGCCGACTGCCCCAGTGACTCCATCCAGCCACCTCATCCTCTGCCATCCCCTTCTTCTTTTGCCATCTATTGTTCGCAGCATCAGGCTCTTCTACAGGGAGTCCTTCCTTCTCATTAGGTGGCCAAAGTATTTCAGTTTCATCTTCAGTATCTGGCCTTCTAAAGAGCAGTCAGGGTGTAGGAGAAGATAGGAGTGTATAATAATTTTTTAAGATACCTTTTTCTCCAGGCGTTCAGACTTGGCTTAGTTAAAGAAAGCTAAAGAAAGAACATAGTAAACCAGCTCTATAGAGACATCGTTCAGGTCAGGACAGATTTATCCTTTTTGTCTCGTTGGGCATTTTTATGTTTTTGGAGAATTTGTGAAAGTTCAGTTGCCATTTCAGAGAAAGCCTTCGATTGCAAACAGAGGCTGATTGGAGACATTAGCACAGAAAGCTAGGTATAGCCCAGTTTCCCTTTTGCACCTTATTTAATATTAAGTTGACATCACGGAGATGCCCTGTGTTCTTTTTACATCTGGTTGAGGTGCAGGGACTCAGTCGCTTACCAGCTATTTAAGATAAAGCTGTTTTTCCCCAGGATGAGTAAAACTAGCATTTTAGCCTTACTTTTAAATCTTTTTAATGGGGTATTTATGGTTCAGCAATTAAGAGTGAATGGGTGCCTAATGGCATAAATGAGGGCACACTTTGCATGCCAAGCAGTCTTAATTTGGTCCGAAAGGTTCGGCAGTTGCTTTATGCTGGTATTGTCTGTCCTGAGCTCTGTATTGTCTGCTCTGGCTGGCAGTGGCTTTCCTAGGGGTTGAGCAGAGTCATTCATCTCTCTTCCTGCCTCTTAGCATGTGAAGCATCTGCTGTTGCATCATGTGATGGCCTCTCTCCTGCATCGGTTATGAGAGGGTGAATGCAGATGTGTACCTAGCCGCTTGGAAAGCTGGCCCTCTCAAGTGGGTCACCACACCTGACCGTGCTGCTGAATGGAAGATTCACCCTGTTTATTGACTGAAACAGGTTCCCAAAGCAGCTGGCGGGAAAACTGACACCTTGGCAGTATCAAAATCAGTCCGCAAAATCAATTAAAACCACGGAACTCCTCTGCACACTGGAGACATTCACCGGGGACATTCACAGCCGAACACCCCAAATTCTTAAACCCCAGAGAACCTGCATGCCCTCGTGAATGACAAGAGTGAGTGGATTGGTCCATAACCAAGAGGGCAGGCTTTGGTTGCCAGTGGAGGGAAATGACATGAGACCCTTCACACTGGGCCTGGGGATGGGAGCATAGGATCATGGGAAGCTGGTTGGCCCAGTTTCGGGTTCCGTGTTGTCAGCAGTGACTAGCAGCCACTCTCCAGGAATCCAGACAGGGATCTGTTCAGCTGTAATGGACCAGTGAAAGGCAGTCTATTCCACCATCTTGTTGCCTGCTGTGGCCAGCGTATGCCCATGGGAAGGTCACAGGAGTAATAGCCTTCTGATATAATCAGTGCAATAGCCGATGATCTTGTTCGCTAGTAACTCATTAAAGAAGTGAGTAATGAGCATGGTATAACGCCATCATGATTAGATGATGGGAATTGAAACTGGAAAGCGTGTGATCTGCTAGCAGTCTTAATTCTTTGCCTCAAAGAATGAGGGGCTGTGGGGGGGTGGTTGTCAGTTTGCTCAAATGTACACCTTTTCCACCTGTGGAACTACGAGGGTTCTTCAGAAAGTTTCCGCACTTTTTAAAACTCTATTAAGAATTTCAAAAACAAATCACATCACGCTTCTATATAGTCACCTTCCTTTACAATGCATTTTTCCCAGCATCGTACCAACTTTTTGATGCCATCAGCCAAATATATATAAAATATATTTATAAAATACAGAAGTGCAGAAACTTTTTAAAGACCCCCAGTATTATCTCTGTTTGTGCTGTGATTTCTTCGAGTGTCAGGTCTCCTTGTCCTGTCGTGCACTCATCTCTGCCAGCCCACTCGCCACAAAACCAACCCAAAAGAGACTCCTTGGGCCTGGGGGAATCTCTCTTCCCATTCGGGGAAAAGATTGCTGCAACAGTTTTGTGGGGGTAACAAGCGATTGCATAAAGAGAAGGGCAGCACAGATGTTAAGGGGGCTGGAGTGGCTACAACAACTGGGGCTGTTTCGTGTAGAAAAGAGGTGAGGAAGGGCAGACGGGTGTTGAAGATGCTGCATGCTGTAGAGCAGGGGTCCCCAAACTAAGGCCCGCGGGGCGGATCCAGCCTGCCATGCCCATTTAACCAGCCCGCCCCACAGGTTTTGCACTCACCCGGTGCAGGTGCACCCGGTGGCAGCTTGCTCGCGAGGAGGTTGTGTTGGACTTGATCTCCTCACGAGCAAGCCAGCGCCTCGCCCCGCGCCCCCCTGCCCATCCCCTCCTTGCCTAGAGGGAGTAGGCAGGGAGGGGGGAGTAGAGATTTTTCTCCTCCCATAACACTGGAACCACGGATCACCCCATGAAGCTGATGAGTGGGAGGTTTAGGACAAATAAAAGGAAGTCCTCCTTCATATGGCCTATAGTTAAACTATGGAATTTGCTGCCACAGGAAATGACGATGACCATTAATCCGGGTGAAGGGGATTGGGCAGATTCATGGATGGGGGAGGCTACTAGCAGCTACTAGCCTTGCTGGCCAGGGGCTACCTCCTTCCCCAGGGCTGGCCTGCCTGCTGCACCAGTTGCTTGGGCAGGAGGGGGTCTCGCACCCATCCTGCTGGAGGGATCCTGTGGGCAAGCTGGTTTGCCACTGTGCGTATGGATTGCTGGACTAGATGGACCTTGGTCTGATTCCCAGCACTTCTCTTATTTTGACATTCCAGTAGGACATTGATGCTATCTATGTATTCTGTAGGTCCGAGGGCCATCTTGGCTCGATACTAGTAGCTAAGTTGTTGTTACTGTTTTAGTAGTCTCCCATTTAAATAGGATGGCTGTCACATACTGCAAATGGGGAATATTCTCCAATATTCTCTTCATGTGTTAATTGCTTTCAGGTCAGAAATGGAAGAGACCCCTTGTGGAGATATGCAGTGGCCATTCCTTTAAAAAAAAAAAGCCATGTTGTAGTAACTGTGGACTTATTTGGTGACTGAAGGCAAGGCGTCTCTTGTCAAGTTCAACTCTTTCCTGCCTCCCCTCCCCCGGCACCATCAGAACAAACATTTGCCTGTTTCTGCAGCTACAAAACTCAGAGTCTATATATCGATTTGGCTTGGTGAAAATACTGAACTTTGCACTTTCAGTATTAATGTAATTTGAAGAGGTTTCCCTTTCCCACCTAGCCTTTAACTACTGGTTTGAATATTTATTAGATTTATACACTTTTTTTTCTTTTTATTCAAGGCAAATTACCTCTTCCTGCTTTCAGTCTTATCCCCACAACAACCCTGTGAGATAGGCTGGTCTGAGAGTCTGCAGTGGGCCCAGAGTTGGCTCCATGGCTAAGTAGGAACTAGAACCCAGATTGCCTGAGTCGCATTCCTGTGCTTTTGGCCACTGCACCACACAGAATATAGTTTCAAATTGCTCCTAAATCTGCATTATGTGCCTATGACAATTGTCTTTTCTTTTTAGGGTTGATGTAAACACCGGAGTTTCTTTGTTGTATACAACTTTTCAGAAAACATCTGGATTTCAGAATGTATCAGGTGAGTTTTTGCACAAGCCTTTCTCAAAAGTAACTGCTCACATGTTAGACACCAGTGCTGTTTCCCGTAAAAAATATCAATTCCAAAAGAAATTACAGTGCAAGTCCTCTTCATTGGTATATTATACATTCCTTTCTTGTTATTTCTGAGCATATTTGCTGAAATATTTGCTGAAAATATGAAGCTCACTTCAGTTATTCGTTGTGAATGGTGTTGTGTGCACTTTAGCTAAGCTGACCTCTTTTACAAGCACAGTCCTCCCAGCAAACTTGCTTTAGTTTATATAATTTATCTGCCTATCGGGTATCTGAAAATAGCAAATGGGAGTTGACTTTTTCTTTTGGGTAATTTCAGTTCTATAATCAACTGCATCTATGAAAAACATTGGCATGTTAAAAATAGATTCATTCGTGCCTCAAGATAAAACCCTGTGAACAAGTAAGAAGCTCTTCCATTACCCTTTTGAGAGCGTGTTTCTTAAAGTGAGTCCAATCGGTCGTTTCCTGGGAACTCGGTTCCACTGAGTACATCAATAGCTGTTCCCAAGCAATCCTATGCAAGATGGCAGTTTTGGGTTATTCCGGGCTCACTTAACAGGATTGGTTGCTTTTTAGTGGGGGGTTGTTCGCTCTTCTCAGCAGAAGCATGCGCATGTGCTCTTTCTCCCCTGAAGCTTACAACTTCCAACGCTCTGCACCAGATGTTGCTGAGTGTGTGAGTTCTCAATCTCAGCAGGTCCCTTTTCCTCAGCCCTCTTCTTGTTTGCTCTTCGTCTGCTGCACTCTCTCCTGGCCTCACTTAAGGACATAAGGAAAGCCTTGCCGGGCCAGCCCATTGGTCCGTCCAGTCCAGCACTCCAGTCACGTGGTGCCTAGCCAGCACGACGATCCCTCAGGCAGGATGCGTGCAAGGCTTTCACCTGCCCAGGCTCCCCAGCAGTTGATACACCACACACAGACATACACTCTGTGCCTCTGATAACAGAGGGAGCACAAGGCCAGCCGTCTAATAGCCACTGGTAGCCTTCTCTGTGACTTTAAAGCCATCCAAGTCGGAGGCCGTCCGTGCTGCCTCTAGCAGTGAACTCCACTGTTTAACCATGCGCTTTCCGTTCGTCTGCCCTGAATCTCCCATCAGTCAATTTCATGGGATGACCCCTGCGGGCTTCTAGTATTCGGGTGGGGGAATGTCCCTCCCTTCGCTTTGTCCATGCATAATTTTCAACATCTCTCTCCTGTCTGCCTTACCTGCCTTCTTGTCAGCTGAGCAATCCCAGCTGTTGTCACCCTTCCTCATAGGGGAACTGCTTCAACCACGACATCTCTGCATTTTTCCCAGCTGAGCATCTCTTTTCAGTTGTGACCAGATCTGTGTGCGGTACTCTTAGCCAGTTGCAAGGAAGGTTTGCATGAGATCTTGACAAGCCATGCTGCAACTGCATATTACTGCAGGTCAACAAAAACAATACGGAACTGGAAAGGGGGCAACCAAAAACATCAAGGGGCTGGAGCAACGCCCCAGGAGGAAAGGTCGTGATGTCTGGAACCATACACTTCAGAGCAAAGGTCTTAAAGGTGGATATGATAGAGGTGGACAGAATTCACTGGGGGGATGAGGAAGTGGAAAGGCCTCTCTTATAATCCTAGAAGTTGCAGTTATCCCATGAAGCTTAATTTTTTTGGCATGGCAGGACAGATAAAACATAACGCATATTTCAGCTATGGAATTCATGCAGTGCACAGTTAAACTGTGGAATTATCTACCTCAGAATGTAGCGATGACTGCAAGTTTGGATCGCTTCAGAAGGAGAACGAACATATTCATTCAGGTTATAAGCAGCTGCTCATCATGATGGCTGTCTGTTCCCTCCGGGAGCAATGGCAGCATCCCTCTCTGTCAGTCATACAGCCGCTCCCTCCTCACCCCTGTCCCCATCTGTTCCATGTAGACAGCAACACCACGGTGTGGTTGTCGGGAAGAGTGTTGCCTGAAAGCCAGGCTGCGGATGGAACATGGGGATGCATGTGAAGGCCCCGAGAGTGGCCTAATTTCAGTTCCCCCCAGAAGCTCCTGCTCCCTCTCTTCCCAGAAATCGCAGTGCTCAAAAGCAATGGCGTCCCCAGGGAGGTAGGCAGCAGGGCAGGGGCAAGCTTGATGGATGTGTGTTGTGATCTTAGCACAACAAGCGCAGAGGCCAGGACTTCGTGCACCGGTGTGGAGGCTCCTAAGAATGAAAGGGGTCTCCCCCTGCTCCTCCTAACAGCGGTAGAAGGAAGGATGAGAGTGGGAAAGCATCTCTATTATATTAAACTACTCCTCGGGTCAGTCATGTCACCCTGCCATCGTGCATCTTTCTGGCTGCTTGTACATCTTCCCCGCATGGTCTGTCCCAAGGGATTATGATTAATTTAATTTCTATGCCCTGAAATAGCCGCGGCTGTCTGGGCAGAGAAACAGCTTTCCTTTTCCTCTTGGGCTTATTCCTTCAGGACTCTCCTGCTTCCAGCCCTCTGGTCTTCTACGCGCTCGTTTCCTCTTCCTGCCGTTCTTTTGTTTCCTGTGCCCACTAGCCTGTCTTTGCTCTTGCCCAAAGTTTGCTGAACTTGAGAAGTACACGAATAAATCGCTTTTCTTGAACATCAAGTTTTTAGCAGCAACTCTTGCCTCCTTTTCCTTCTCTATGTTTTTCAGTGCCTTTGTATTGCCAGGTTAGTTCAGCCACTGCCTTGAATGACTGATACCACACATTTTCCAAGAGTACTATTTGCTTTTTAACTGCCTGCTAATAATATTGCTATTTATCCTATTTTATGAAAAAAAACTCATTAACTTGTTCCTCCATAACATTCTTGGAGGCAGAGGGCCCCAGAAAATAGCTTCGGAATTGAGCAGGACGACAGCATTTGGCTGATTTTAAGCTATTATATTAATCTAGCAAAACAGCTCAAATGACTTAAGATGCCTGCAGTTAATTTCTTTGAGGATTTTAATGCTTTTAAAAGCACTGTTACTAATGCATATGCTGGTAAAAACTGCGGATGGCAATCTCTGCTTAGAGTTTCCCTCCTGCATGAGGGAGAATGGGAAATGCCTCTTCCAGAGTGGCGTCTGCGGGAGAACATACATGCACCATCCTCTCTCATGCCTCTTCTGAACACACTGGGAGACGGAAGGTTTTGCAGATGGGGGCAGAGCACACTTTCTGTATGCGGACATCCCCTGGCTTAGTTCCCAGCACCTCCAGTCGGACCTTCTAATAATGCAAGGAGGGCTTCTCCTTGATTAAGGGCACACCCCCGAGCAAGTTGAGACAGAAAAAGGCCTTCAGTTCACAGCGTGCCCCGGCCAGCGTGTCTGGTGTCATTGTCGACCTTTTTCTCTGTCTAGTCAGGATTGTGCCTTTAATCAACTAATACAATTCATCAGCTAAGATTATCAAGTGACAACTTGAGTGGTGGGGCTGTTATCCATGATTGAATGCAGATCAAAACATTGCTGTATTGGGTTTCAGGATGTTGCTGAACTATGCATTTTAAATGCAAAAACGCTACTGCACATAGTAGAGGGGAAATATTTTTATTGGGGTTTGTTGTATGGGCATGGCTTGTTTTATTTGCTTTGCTTAGCTTTTTGTGGTGGTCGAAAGCTACCCAGTGCTTAGCAGACCTAAAGCTGCTTTTCTGCTTTAACAACTTACAGTGTGTTACTTACAAGCTGGTGAATCCAGCTGCATCATTTACTGTATCTATGAAATTTACAGAGCATTTCTTAGGCATGTTTTCTCCCAGCTGACCAGGCAGAATGTGGTGTATAAATGTGAATCTATCCAGTGTCAAAAAGGGGGCGCTGTGTAGTCCAAGCACACACACCGTGGTATTTGCTCTCTGAGAAACAAGAACATTTGTAAGTTCAAGACCAGAAACCACAGATTTTGGGGTTAATCAAACAAGTGTGCTATTTGGACAGAAACAAGTTTTGATGTCGTTGCAGTACAAAGAACTAGCAGCGTGTTTGGAAATCAAATCATTCTTTATACCATTGGACTGTATATAGTCTGTAGCAGCGTGTCTGTGACCGTCATTTGTAGGAAGAGGTAAAAGGTTTAGCACCGAGGCAGAAAAATGGTCAAAAGGACTGTAGAGATAGATACTTGCTCCTAGTGTTTCTGCACTTGATGGGAGGCCACCAGAAGAAGGCAGGCAGTGCAGACACGAGGGGGTGAAGGCCCCGGTGAAGAAGCAGCAATCCCTAGGCTTCGAAATACTTGTTAGATTGGAGAGTTGTACAAATCTTCACACACAGGAGTTAGCATTCCCTTGTTATGCAAGACAATTTTTGTACTACTTATTTTGTACAAGCAAAACTTGGTCTTTAAGCATTCCACTCATTTCTTAAGAAGAAATCTTCTATTTAAAACTTCTCCCAGTGCTCTACGAAAGTTCCATTTTGTTTCTCTTGGGAAAATTTGGGTAAAAGTGCATGTGCAGTCCCCATTTCCCACACCCTTGAGGCTCTTATGCAATCTTTTCAACAGAAAAAAAAAATGGAAATTCTGGGAGTGACAGAGGAAATCTATATTTTTTTCTTCTTGTTAGATGAATGGATTTGGAGACTGGAGGCAAAGATACTGTGTCCTTTTGAGCAGCATTTCGCCTTTATAGATTATCTGGGCCTGCCTCCCTGCTTTTTTTTTCCTGGGCTTTTGCACCTCTGTAGCGTACTACCTAGAGTGTTTGTGCAGGTGGGCATGCATGTGCGTTTGTTCTAGGGAGGGGAAAGAATACAACAGTTGTGACAGTAGAGTGAATGTGGTGACTTGTGGGTTCTGTTGAGCCTTGTGAAACTGTAGCTCCGTTCAGGCATAATCCCAAATTCTGGAAGCGGCAGTGGAAGCATGCCAGACCAGGACTGTAAAGCAACCTGAAACAGTGGCTAGCAGTCTGGGTCTGGGTAGCAAATGCTCGCTGCTGGTCTTCATGCAAAGACGGATTGAGATTTGTATTGAATGACTCATTGAAGTGGGATGGTAGGAGAAGAGGCAGGGCATGAGCATGGAACCAAAGCCCATTACACTGAATCATGCTGGGCATTACATCTAAACCAAGACGCCTGTCCACGTGCTTCTTCCTTTATTTTCTTTCTTACTATATTTATAGCCTTCATTTCTTCCATTGTGAAGCTCAAGGGGTTCCCCCACCCAAGGAGGCCACGTCCGGGGAGCTGAGTCTTTCCAAACCAGTAATTTTCAGGAAGATGCTGCATCTGATCCAGGGAAGAGCTGCACTTCCAGAAAAGAGCACCTGTCTTGCAGGTGGAAGTTCTCAGGTTGAATCCTTGCCCTCTCCAGGTAGCTCCAGAAAGACAGCTGGCTGTCAGTTGATAAAGACAGGACTGAGCTGTTTGGAGCAACTTTCCACTCATTTTTAAAGCCACCTCCGCCATCTGTATAAAACCGGGTGGTTGAATCTCTTTCAGTGCACCCTGTAGCAGGCACTGCAGAAATCGGGGAACCGCTCCCTGTGTAATTTGCTCATAGCAACAGGGTTTGGGGCACGGCATAGATGCTTGCCAAAGCACAAGCACCAAGAGCTGCCGCCGTCATCGTTTGGGGAGGGACAGTCGTTGTGAGCCGAAGAAGCCACACGTGCATTTCAAGGTGGGCCTGCTGGGAAACAGGCTGTTTCATAACTGGGGTGCCGCTTACTGAAAAAAGCTACCTCCCTAGTAAGCAGCTCAGAGCAGGCCTCCGAAGAAGATACTCAGGGACGGATAAGTATATGCAAGAATGCCACTGCAGGCGGGAGTGGTCCGTTGCTCTTCTATTGAAAGGACTTCCTTTTCTGTTGCTCCCAGCCTGGATTCTGTGGTTGGCCTCCACTCTTGCATCTTAATTTGCTTGTTATATCAATATATTAATCCCCTCCATAAACACACACATACACACACCCCTATGCATTAGTTGGGAGTACAAAAACGGAAATATTTGATTTTTAAAAAAATATTTAAAAGTACAAACAAACAAAACCACTACATTTAAAATGCAAACATAAAGATCAACATACAGTAAACATAATCTGTGTTACATTTCTGTGCCCCTCACCAACCAGACCCAAGATCCATGTCACAGGTAAAAGAAAACAAAAACCTTGGAATACTTCAGGACAGTCCCCCCCCCCCCCGCCCCGCCTTCCAAAACTGTAAAGGTTCTTTTGATGGCTCAAATCCTTTGTTTAAAACATAGCCAATGAATACACCCCAAATCTCATTAAGCTTTGAAATATCTGATCAGGAACAACAAAACGCCTGTGGCTTTTTACTTAACATTCATTAAATGGCATGGTTAAGCAAAATCAGAACTTGACTAGTGTTCTTGGAGTACCTGTAATACTTTTGGATGTGACCGTCTGTGCATTAGGATAATGAAGGGCTTGGGGATAATGATCTGTAAACAAGGACCTGCTGTTGAAAGTATCCTGTGTCAAAAAGACACTTCTGTTTCTTTGTTAAAGCCTGGCATGTGAGAATCCAGGGTGCATTGGTACGTGGGCGGCAAGCACTTCATTGTTAAAGAGACACAGTTCCTCCCCCAGAACAAGCCTTGTCTTCAGTTCTTCGTTGCAGTTAAAGCACTAAACAGCCTAACCGGGGTTAGAAATAGCTTTCAAACTCTTGAGTCAGAGCAAGCCCTGTTTTAGGATCAGTGCTGGCATAAGCCTTAGCCAGCAGACTAATGAAGAGGATCTGTTAACTTGTTCCCGGCCGGTTGACCAAGGGATGTGTGTGTGTGTGTGATCCCCAGCACAAATTGCTAAGAACTCAGGAATATTTATGCACACTGCCTTAAAGGGGACATGTGAATGGAAGCTGGCTCAGTTCATTGTGCTTCTTGACAAATTAAGCAGGCTGCAGTAACAGCCCTCATTGCATTGATGGATCATTAAACCTTATTGGGTCGATTCAGTGGGTTCCAGCAGGCAGGAAGTCCCCGAGATGGCCTGGCTTCACACACAGGATCCCCAGAGGTCCCCACAATCTGTATTTCGTCTCTTTGCTAAAGGGCATTTTGCCATAATGTAGAAAACCACGTCTCTTCTACATTGAGGGGGGGATTCAACCAAAGGTCAGTTTAGTCCAACACCCTGTTCCCCACAGTTGCCAACCAGCTGCCTCCAGGCAGCCCACAACTGGGGCTGGAGGACTGTAGCCCCCCACTGCTGTCGCTTCCAGCAGCTGTTACTCCGTGGCATAGAGATGTTATGATGATGATGATGATGATGATGATGATGATGATGCCTCCCCCTGGCCATGGCACTTCCCCGTGGATTCGCCTAGTGCCCCTTTGAAGGTTCTTCCTTGCTCATTGTTTCTGGAATAAATCTTCTTGCGCGAGAACTCACGATGGACCAGACAAGGTTGCTGTTGACCGTTTTGTTCCGTGCAAAGCCAGCCACACCTCCCACAAAAGCTAGCTGAGCTACTTGCGTCTTTGGATTGCCGGTTCTTGCTGCCTCATCTCTCTTCCCTCTGCATTACTTCCCAGCAGCACAATGTGCCACCAGCACATGAGTCGAACTGGATGAGTGTACCTCTTGAGAGAGTCTGCACTGCCTTTGGGGTCAGCCCCCCCCCAAAAAAAAAAGATGTGAATATGTGGATTTTTGGCACTTGGACACCTTAGCTGTTGAGTTGCTGTTTTTCGGCATTCGCCTCTATGAGTTCAGGACTGATCAGCAATCCTTGTGGCAGGAGGGAGGGATATGAATTATTAGAATGTCTCTGCTCACTGCAGCCACATTTTATATCAAACTTCTGGGCTCTGACAGGTTATTTTCAGGCTACATGAATAGGACATTGTTTGTCTGTCCCCAGGACTGAGCAGTATAGTACAGCCGCAGGGGTGTTTGTATCTCATCATCCCCATGATATCTTTGAGAACTTTAGGGAGGAGATACCTGCCTTGCAGCATACATCCCTGATTTTAGTTCCTTCCTTCCTTCCTTCCTTCCTTCCTTCCTTCCTTCCTTCCTTCCTTCTGGGATATTTAAACCCCCAACCACCCAACTGAACTGCAGTGCCCATCATCTGCAGCCAGCATGCTCACTCACCGTGCCAGCTGAGATGATGGGAACTGTAGTCCAATGGATTTGGGGGGCAGCAACTTGAGGGGAGGCTCCTTTCAAGCAGTTCAGGGCTCAGCCTCCTTTGCAGCCAAAACAGGCCTCGAGGGAGCACGTTAATTCAGGTCTGAGGCAGAGCCGTTCCGCCAGTCCCAGGCCCACTCACACCCTCAGTTCTGCAGAGCAGTTCTGCCTCGCGTGTGACTTCACCTGCTGATCCACCTGGTGCTCAGCAGAAGAGCACCAGGCCCGATGCTGCAAAGGATGAAGGACGAGCCCTCTTGCATGGGACCGGCAAGTGCCGTGCAGCGCTGCCCCACGGAGTTTGGACTTTAGGTTTGGATGGAGGGGTGTGTGGATGGAACTTGGACTGGTGGGATAGGTAGAGGTGAGGAGCAAGAACATGCAGGTATATGTAATTAGGCCAGGTTTCCCACGAGTGAGGGGAGGCACTGAGGAGCAAGAGGTTGTACCAAAGGCATCATGGTAAAATTGTGATAGATCACCTGGAATAAAAACTAAGATGCGGAACATGGGTCGCAGGCTCCCTGTAAAAAACAGAAATAAGAATTATACAACAACCCAGGTGCAAAGTGGACGTTCGTCTCCTCTTGTTTATTATTTTATATCATGTCTTTGAAAATTAAGGTATTTACTCGCCTGTGCTGACTTACACGCCCTAAAATGTGTCTGTATTTTGCAAGCCATTTCTTCCAGTAGCCACCATAACACTGGACTGCAAATGCACCGGGGGAGGGATTTATGCTTCATCTTGTATGCCTTCGGGTTCAGAAGCGCTCGTTACAGGTGCATACCCAAAAGGCTTGTTGCTGACTGTTTGCATACGGTTGCCAATTGCAATGTGGGTGGGTCAGCTGGCTGGATTCAGCAGTGTGCTCACAGCTGCGTGTTCCTTTTCCTTCCCTGCAGAACTCACTCGAGCCTGCAGTATCAGTTGAGACGTTGGCGGACGTACCTGCGCACGTGCTTAAAGGGCTTCCTGAGGAAGTCAGGCTCCTTCCATCAGCTGTTGACAAGACACGGCTTGGTGAGTGAATCTAGGGACACGTTGCGTAAGGAAAGGCAGCTGGCGCAGCAGGTGGGTGGCCCAGGAAAAGGCTGTGGGGTGAGGACTATGTTTCTTAGGATTCAGGTACAAGAGGGGCGATCTGATTCTGCAGCAAAAGCAGGAATCGGTTAGAGAAAACTGGAAGGTAGAAAGCTTGGAAGAGCTTCCTCTTTCTACAAGAGATAAATATTTTAGTGTGGGCCTCCAGCTTTTAAGAGGAGTGCCCTTCTAGGGTTCTAGCCAGATCAACAGCCTCATGGAACTGCTCGGAGCTCACTGAGAACGCCTCTTTTTCTTTCCTGCCCTCCTGAAAGCTTTCCCTACTACTGTGTTTGTGTTTCTGCACACACACTGGGGTCCTAAAGTCTTTGGGGTCCCTTTTCTGGATGCTTCTGCCTGATCAGATGCAAATAGGGGCTGCTAGAGAAGAAGACCTTCCTGGGGTGGCCCCCTGGTGGAACGCCATCTCCAGAAATGCTCACCTGGCACCTACATTGTGGTGTTCTTCTAGGCTGTTTTAGCCCCTCAGTTTAAAAAGGAAAGAACACCCTGGTGGTTCTTAGATCACTGTTTAAATAATTCAGGTTCAGAAAATAAGTAAGTGCTCTCCTGCTGTTGGTTTTCTACTGTGGCTGTTTTAAATAGCACGTGGTGTACGATTGTTCTTGTCTTTTATCATGTGATCTGCTTGATGGGCTGCTCAGAGAACCCCACTGGCTGGTGGTCCTGAAGCCAAGCCCTTCGTTGCTGTTCAGCTTGGAGAGGAGTGTGGGGAGAAAAACCTTCTAACCTCATGACATGCAATCATTCAGCCCTAATGTTGATCTCTGAGATACTCTGAGCTCAAGGCGCCCACTTCCCTCTCCTTTGCCCTTCTTTATCGGACAGCTTCAACCCTTCTATGGTGCAGCTGTCTTCAGTCACATACCAGATTTCCAGTGGCATAAGCCATCCTACATCTGGTCCCTTCAAACCGGGGATAAGCAAGTTGTGGTACTTCACAGGTTTTGCTCTACAACTTCCATCAGCTCTAGTCAGAATGATGTGAGTTGCAGGGCAAAGCTTCTGGAGGGCCACCCCTGATTTAGACCTTGTTGCATCTTCTTCTAATGCAGGCAGACGAGCTTCACAGAAAACATTAGGCAGTAGGGTGTATCAAACCAGAGGCAAAAGATTCATGTTTCTCAGGGGCTGGGACAAAGAAGTTCCAGGCTAATTAGCCCCAGAATGGACCTGGTACTATGAGGTACTTTTGGCAAAGCACTTCCGTCAAGAAGGCGAAAGCAGAATAGCTGAAGGTAATGGCAAGTGATGAATTTCTACCCAAATGGCGCACCACGCTAATGCCACTGCAGCCGGCTCCACGGAGGGCCTCTGCAGGACTGTGGACGCTCCTTAACGGGCCCGGCTTGGTCTCTTGGCGCAGCCTGGGACATACGATCTCTGTCCCCTGGATGTTGCAGGGCCTTGATGAGGACTTTCCTTTTGAGAGACTGGTTTTAAGCAGCCCGCTGGAGACCCCGGTTCCGCTGGCCCGCAGCCTCTCGGTCTGCTGTTCAGATGGGTTTTAGTGATTATTTCCTCCTCTATGTGCTTTGCTGTTAGTTGCTATTAAACATTTATGGCATATTTTCTCTAAATGCCTGCAGGTTGGCTCAAAGAAGTTCCATGTCCCAAGTCAGTGCATTAACCTTCACTTCCACCTCACCAAAAAGGAAAAAAAAACTTATATACCACCTTAAATACCACATCATGTTACTGGGCAAAGCTGGGCTATGTTTATGGTACCCCCTTGACAGCTATGCTCAACTTGGCAGTACCGGTGGGGCGGGTATTTTTGGAGTTATGAAGTGCCACTAAAGAGTCAGGGGCTCTAAAGGTAGTTCCTTGTTTGCTCTTCAGGTGTCTGGGCAACAAAGCCAATTTTCAGAGGCAGAAAGTTTGGACCGTTTGTCGGTGACAAGAAGAAAAGATCTCAAGTGAAGAGCAATGTGTACATGTGGGAGGTAAGGAAAAGCTGGTGAAAAAGATATTTCCCCCCATAAAAAATAGTCCAAGATGATTAATACATCACTGTTGATAACAGAGTTTAAGAATCAGTCACAAAGCCCTACGCAGCATACGAAGGTGAAATAAAATAAATGTTGAAATAAAACAGCAACCAAGGAAAGCTTAATCTAGGACTGCGGCAGGAGAAAAGAACAGAATTTTCCATTTGTTGTAAAACTGGAACTCGCAAATGCTGGACTGTGCTTTGCTCAAGCCAGGCAGTCACAGAGGGAAGCTCAGCACACAAGGGGAAGAAGGGCTGGGCAACGCTAGGAGTTGCAGTCCCACACTTTGGAAAGCACTGGGCTGGGACGGGCTGCACTGGCCTTGGTTGGGAGGACCTGGGATGCTGCATTTGACCCAACCCCTGATAGGAAGTGCTTTGGGTGGCCGTGGGAAAACGGGAGATGGGGCTTTGGCTCCCCCTCTTGAGGGGAGTGCTGAAGCACCCGGGAGGCACCGCTGACCCTTTCCGATGACCTGGGAGCAAGCGGACCCAGCCATGCACGGCACATGGATCTGTGTGTGCTCTCGGAGTGACTGACCGTGCTCTTTTCCCATTCTCCTCCCGACAACTTTTGAAGGTCTACTACCCCAACTTGGGCTGGATGTGTGTTGACGCCACTGACCCCGAGAAAGGGAACTGGCTGCGCTATGTAAACTGGGCTCGTTCAGGAAAAGAGCAGAATCTCTTCCCCTTGGAGATCAACAGAACCATTTACTACAAAACCTTAAAGGTAACAGTACCACCGTGTGCCCCTTAATCGTCCTCCTTTTCGCTTCCTCTTTTGCGAAAGAATGTTTTGTCGCACTGTTGCTTCGTGAAGTTGCCAGCTGGCAAATAGGGAAAGAGCCCCAACCCGCTTGAAACGGCCTTTGATATTTGGGGAAAGTCCTGCCTGAAACCTTGAGGAAACTGCCGCTTCTGCCCACATGTAGCCCATGTGAAGTGGGGCGGCCCAAAGCTCTGAGGTTGTGTGATACGGCTGATGATTTTGGAACTCTCCTTTGGATTTTCTTTCAATAGGTGTTCAGTGATAAGGGCACCTGCCTTGTTTACATACATTGCAGTGCAGAGCAAACCACCCTCGGGGTGGGACAGACAAACTGGAAGGGCGAGATATAAGTAAGGGATGTATTAGAAGCAGGTTATCTCATAGCTGGTGTCACCTAGAGGAAGGGGAGCAGAGCGGACCATTTGGCCTAGCCCGGGAATAAGGAAGGATTGGTTGTGGAGCAGGAGCAAGGGAACAGGCAGAAAGCTGTGCAGTCACAGAACATAGACACAGCGCGAGTCAGAAGGGGCCTCCTGGGCCATCTGGTCTGACCCCCGGCTCCAGCCGGCTCCACGCACGACAGTCCTGCCCCACAAAACCAGAAGCTGGGCCCTGCGCACCGAAGGGCCAGCATTCCCAGATGGGGAAGGTGGGCCGAGGCAGCCTATAAGCTTAAAAGCAAGACAGGAACAGCCAGAGAAAGAGGACCAAGTGCAAGCAGACAAAACGGGCAAAGACGTGGTTGGACAGTGGAGGAGAAGAGGGGGAAAGCCCCGGCCATGGGAGAACAAAGGCCTTAAGGGGGGCTTGTTGGGTGGAACCATTAGAGAACAGGAGCAGTCAGGGCCGGGCTCTGGGGGACTTACCCACCAGGCACAGATGCCGCCCGCAGGAAATAGAACCACCACCACCCCTCACACACAAAATAGAATAAAAAAATCACAGAACACTTTTGTCCCAGAGTTTTGAGCCCTCCTGAAGAAGCCTCTTCAAGCTTACCTGTAAGCCCCAGGGGTCAGGTAGATGAGAAGAAACAGGAGCTGGGTTTCCAGCTGGGGACCCCGTCCCTTCAGGGACCTCCTCCTCTGGAACTAGTGGGGGCCACGCTCTTCCCTGGCCCTAAAAAGGGAAGGGTAGAAAGCTCTCCTCCGCATGGATACCCACCTGCCTGGCTGCATTTCCGTGTCCACTGACTGAAGAGTTGTATCGCTAAAGCACTGTCAATGATTAAGCCTGGCGTTGCTGTTGCGGCAAAGCGCCGTCACGGCCGGCGAGCACAGCTGGATGCGAGCCGCTTGGGGTAAACACGACCGACCGACGTGGACCGCAGGCCCCAGCGGGACTAGCTTCCGTGCCGCCCTGGAGCCCAGGCAGTGGGGCTCCCAGCAGCCCTTCGGGTCACTGGATGGGGTTGCTCTCTTGATTCAAACTGATTGGTTGCCCTGCTTCAGAAACGAGCATTTCATTCCATACAATTACAGGTGGGAATATTAAACAAAAAAAGCATGCTAGGCAGAAAGCTCACTAACAATCTAATTTTCAGTATTATATATGTTTTTAAAACAGACGCTAGAGCAAACCAAATGACCAACCAATTCCCTTGTGTAGGGGTTTAGTAATCTAATCTTGTAAGCTTGTATTTGTATTTTCTATACAAATGTTGCGACTGATAGCAGTTTAAATTTGTAGCAGTTTAAGTATCAATGACCAGGAAGATCCTACAGTCTCTGAAGTCTAGCAAACAAAGGATGAAGTCTTACAGGCTGTTTAGTCTTCTTATTACTAAACTTGTGCTTGGCTTTTTAATATTACAAATGTGGACCCTGGGCCAAATCTGTAGATAGACTTGGTACAGAACAATCAGAACAAGAGGCTGCCTGTAGTTTGAGTTTGTTTGGTAAGGAAATATTCCAGACTATTTCAGGGGAGGGCTTCATTTTGCAGCGCTCAGAGATCTTAAATCTGCATTTGATTCCATCTCTGGGAAGAGATTTCAGAGGAAAGGCTCTCAAACCCTTGAGTCCCACCTCTGCTGAAATCGAAAAAAACTTTTTAAAATATAGCTTAGATTTAATCAATCTTGGTCCTTTCCAAAAGTGTCACAGTAGCTATTACCTGGCCAGCTATAAAGCAGCTGCAACAGACTTTGTGCTTGCAGAATCTATTCGAAAACGAACTAAGACTGAATCCAAGATACATCAACCAGAACCAATAGTAAAAGATATTTGTAATAAAGAACTTGGAGCCCAGGAATTTGTGCTGGGTACCAGAACCGAGTAGGCATTGGAATCGTTCTGCGCACAAATGCTGTTCCTTGCTAAGCTGGTCCCTTAGCTTTTGTTCCTTTCTGCACCACCATTTAGCGCAGGAGAGTATCACTCCTTTGCCGCTTTTCTTCAAACTGAGCCGGAAATTCTCGTTGCCTGTGCATTCCCTCCTTCCTTGGTGAGCCCTTCCCATGTAAGTCATAACCCAGGAGCTGTCTTTTAAAGCTGATTGCACAGAGCCTAGTGAAAGGTAAGCAGTGGAATTGTGAGAAGAGGAGGAGTTTGACAGATGCTGCGTGCCAGTGGATGGGCACGTTATGTCGTCGTCTGCAGTCTGAACGGCGGTGGAAGTGCTCCAGCGGGGCTCGGTCTTCCAGGCCTGGCAGAGGGCTGCTGCCCTCTCTTTCCAGTGCTATTCGTTTTGTCGGAAGGGGAGAGAGAGAGAGGAGAGGCGGGAGGGAGAAGCCTTGGCTGCATGCGAGGATTCCGGGCATTCTCTGGCACGCACGTCCAGGACAAAGCGATCAGGTGCAGAGGGTGTGGGTGCAAAGCACCTTCATCGCAGTGCTTTCTGCGGCTAACGTTACCTTTCTGCGGCTTTGGGCTCACACATGATCCCGAGGAAGCAGGCAGCCTGCACGGCCGTGCTGGCTGCAGGGCGAGGGGAGCCCACTCGTCCGAAGCCAGCGTGGATGCACAGGCCCCAGGGCTTCTCCCACCCGAAGCAGCCTCCCTCCGCCTGTCCGTGCTGATCCGCAGAGGGAGAGGCTTTCCTGCCTTCCTTCCCGGCTAGCATGGCCCCCAAGGGAGCTGGGGGAGGGGGGGAGGGCGCAGCGCTCACTCGCATGCAGTGCCCGGCCCTCGCTGGCTGCCAGATGAGTTCCCGGGCGCCGGAGGGAGGCCGCATCCTCACTCTGTGTGGCACTCGGCGCACAGCACGAGAGGGCGGGTCCCTTGCCCAAGCCAAAGCGCACTGAAAGAACGCCGTTTGCTCGCACTGGTGAGGCAATGTTGCTTGTTCTATTCCCTTGTCTGTGTTTTGAGGCTGCCTGGAGCCCCCCCACGCAAGAGGATGGCAGGCATCCCATGGAAGTGGGGGAGGCTCGGAGGGCAGCCCCACTCTTCTTGCCCTCCCAAGTGTTTAGATGGCCGGTTGTTTAATTAATTTATTTAAAACTTTTCTATACTGTCCCTTACATGAATGTCTCGGGACAGTTTACAGCCAATTAATATTAAAATAGAAATAAGGATAACCGTTGCCCAGCACTCAATGTTAAAATATAAACCCACGAAATAAAGCAAGTTAACAATTAAAATACTGGGAGAATAAAAAGGGTTTTTCCTGATGCTGAAAGGAAAGAAGCGTTGGCACCAGGCTTCTCTCTGGGGATTCCAGCTGCCTATATGTTTCCCGCCTCTTCCTTAGGAGGAGGGGCTGAGACACTGCCTGGATTCTTCAGAGGATGTTGTTGGCTCACTGCCCTCTCCCTGGAGCCCCCCACCTCTTGACTCTGGGCTAGGGTCCGGGTTCTAGTCCCTACGTGGTCGTAAAGCCCAAAGGGTGACACTGCGTCCATCACAGCCTGAGCCACCTCACGTAGTGGTTGTTTTGGGGATACAGCGGAGTGGAGAAGCTTGTAACATGCCTTGGGTTCCTTGTAAGAGGAAGAAAGCTGGAGCATAAATGTAACATAATTTATATTGTGCTATCATTATCTCTGTTACTTTTAATGTTGTTGCTCATTTTCAATCAGAAGGCTTCTGCCTCCCTCCAATAGATAAATATTACCTTTAGAGTGTGATTTTACCTTTCTCTGACAACTTGAGATACGTTGACCTTCTGCTAGAATCACTGTTCAAATAAATGTTATTGTTTCTATTCCACCGAAGTGTTCTGTGTGTTGAACTATTTGAAGATAAGTGAAGATGCAGATCTCTTTCATCAGGACTAGGGTGCTGTTTCTGGCGAGCTCAAAATCGTCAAGGTTGTCTATTTGTCTCTTTTATGCTATTTTTATTTATCATAGTTTGTACGATGGGCACTTCCCCCCCACCCCATTTCACTCCCTCTTGATGTGAGCTGCTTTGAGAAACGGTCGTCTGGAAAGTGGGTTGAAATGCACCGAACAAGCATTAATCCTTGAAAATGACACGCAATTGCTTTCTTTTGTGGTCAGGCACATGCAAAGGGTACTTGCCCCTGTGAAGAACTTCATTTGGAAAATGTCCATAGTTGAGGAATTCTGGTGGGAGCTCTCCATCATCATCCCAGAACACGTGGCAGGAGGGGCTCCTGCCCCCTCCCTGTTCTTTGACCGCCATTTTGGTTGCCTCAGGGAAATGGCCCCAGCCCTTCCAGACTGCTGAGGTTTCCTGGACACTGTCCCTTATTTCGCCCTTGTTTGATGGTCTGTCTTATTTTAGCCCTTTCACGCTGTTCTCTCTCAGTCACTGGCCCTTGTGTGTCACACAGCCCTAAAGGTGCCTTTCCCGAAATGAGAGTGAGCTCCCTCCAGCCAGCGGGGGTGAGGGACAGAGGTCAGAGTCTGCCCCTGTTTTCGGGCCTTCATGAATCAGGCAACGGGGTCTGATCAGCCCAAGGCAGTGGCTCAGAAACACACTTTGAGGATCGCAGGGACTCCAAAATCGAACGTTGCTACAAGGCATTTGTCATCCATTCGCTCAGGAACCCTC